GGTCACATTACCAGACGGTTCCCAGGGCTGCAGTTCCTCTGAGCTCCACAAAGCAGTGATCTCACTTCTACCCAGACAGGAAGTCTCTGAAAAACAGGAAGTGGTGTCAGGTGCAGACAGGAAGTGATGTCAGGAACAAACAGGAAGTCCTAGGTCAGAGGTGAGTCGGGAGGAAGTAGAGAGGAGACATTGCTTGAAGTGGCAGTAGAGGAGGTAATAAGATCTTATTTTCTATTTATATCCAGTAACCCTCCGTCATGTCCGTCCTCTTCCCCCACCGTCATATTAATCCTCTTCTTCCATAGTCATGTACGCCCTCCTCCATCGTCATGTCCGCCCACTTCCTCTGTAGTCACTGTGATGTCTGTCCTCTTCCTCCATAGTCATGCCTGTCCTCTTCCTCCATAGTCATGCCTGTCCTCTTCCTCCATAGTCATGTCCATCCTCTTCCTCCATAGTCACTGTGACGTCTTTTATCACCAGCAGATGATACACACCTATATAGTGTGGAAACGTAAGTGACCCCTTCAGGGGCAGAACATCCCCCCACTTACGGTGCCGGACAAATTTTCTCCATTTTGGAGATATATTCTAGTAATATGGTCCTCCAGACAAACAGCACTGACAGTAAATAGACAAGACAATGACTATCCTGACCATACATGGCCTACAAAGGGCAATGATTACACTGCACAGGCAGCCAATGGGCAATCATTACACTATGCAGCCAACACAATGATGGAGTGCCGGGGTCAGGAGTATGGAGCATAGAGCCCCGTACATTGCTGGTCAGGAGGAAAAAAACATTCCACAGACTGCCATGAAGAATATGTTCCATCATTGGTGTCAGAGGGAGGAAAATATTGAGGGCTGTGAGGGAAGTACAGGAGCTAAAGAGCCTTTGAAGGGGCACTAAGGCTGAATGACGTTGGGACCCCTGAGGAGGTAGTTGTGTTGAAGGACTCTGAGGATGTAGTGGGGATGAACAGTTCTGAGGGGGTAGTGTAGCTGAAGGGCTCATGGCCCTTGATAGGGTTGGAAGGCCTGAGGGCTCTGAGGGAAGTAGAGGAGCTAAAGAGCCTTTGAGGGGGCACTAAGGCTGAATGACATTGGGACCCCTGAGGAGGTAGTTTTGTTGAAGGACTTTGAGGATGTAGTGGGGATGAACAGTTCTGAGGGGGTAGTGTAGCTGAAGGGCTCCTGGCCCTTAGGGTTGGAAGGCCTGAGGGAAGAGGAGCTGTAGGGCTCAGAGAGATTCTAAGGTAGGGAGGGGGGACTACAATGGTCCTCCCACCTGCACTTACTTTCCAGACCTCCTTACGGAACTCTTGCAAGGAAAAGGCAGCTTTAACCTTCTTACCATCTCACTGATCAAATAAAGTGTTCTAGGATACCAAGTGGGCACTTCTTCTTTGAGGTGGTCTTTTTTTGCAGAGCACCACCTAACGTGTGGCCAGTGATCAGTGCTATGCATCAGGCAAGGCAGTTCAAAGCTAAACTAAATGTGTTCCCATGGGGGAGTAGTTCCTAAATGTCCAGCAACCCTCCTATTCCCCCCTCACATCCACATCCTATTATTGTGTGACTGATACCATCCAAATCATTCTTACTTTCATTTTCCAAAGTTATCCGTCTACAAGGAGACCTGTATAGATCACATGACTGCACAAATGAGGATGGAGGAGGACTGGAGTCACATGACTGAGAGGATACTAAACCTCACCCTGGAGATCATCTACCTGCTGACCGGAGAGGTGAGGAGGATTCTGGGAGGTCACATGACATCACTCTTATCTCTATTAATAAAACACAGACCTGACCGGAGAGGTGAAGAGAATTCTGGGAGGTCACGTGGCGTCGCTCTCATCTCTATTAATAAAACACAGACCTGACCGGAGAGGTGGAGAGGATTCTGGGAGGTCACGTGACATCACTCTCATCTCTATTAATAAAACACAGACCTGACCGGGGAGGTGAGGAGGATTCTGGGAGGTTACGTGACATCACTCTCATCTCTATTAATAAAACACGGACCTGACCAGAGAGGTGAGGAGGATTCTGGGAGGTCACATGACATCACTCTCATCTCTATTAATAAAACACGGACCTGACCGGAGAGGTGAGGAGGATTCTGGGAGGTCACATGACATCACTCTTAGCTCTATTAATAAAACACAGACCTGACCGGAGAGGTGAGGAGGATTCTGGGATTCTAACATGCTATTCCCATTGGTTCCTCAATACAGAGATTTCCTCTTCTGAAGTCAGGTGATCATATGACCATCATAGTGCCTCCATGTGACTCCCTAAACCCTGAGAGACACAACATGCAGAAGATTCTAGAAGTCACCAAGAAGATGATGGAGCTGCTGACAGGAGAGGTGAGCGGTGCCGGGAATTCTGGGACATTCTCCAGTAACAGACAAGGGATGTGTCTGGATGGTGACTGTATCATTGTGTGTGTCAGGTTCCTATAAGGTGTCAGGGTGTCACTGTCTATTTCTCCATGGAGGAGTGGGAGTATTTAGAAGGACACAAGGACCTCTACAAGGACGTCATGATGGACAATCAGCCGCCCCTCACATCACCAGGTAAGAGGAGACTTTATTGTAAGGAGGAGAGCAGTACGGAGGGTCCACCTAGATCCCCCATCATCTGATAAACACATAGAAACAATGGATTCAGTCAGTGTGTGTGTGTTTCCTACAGATGGATCCAGTCATGGGAACCCACCAGAGAGATGTCCCCGTCCTCTGTATTCCCGGGATTCCACACAGGAAGGTCACACGATCCCTCACCATCATCAGGTTGATGGACCCAGTCATGGGAACCCACCAGAGAAATGTCCCCGTCCTCTGTATTCCCGGGATTCCATACAGGAAGATCTCACCATCCCTCACCATCAGGTAGATGGATCCAGTCATGGGAACCCACTGGAGAGATGTCCCCGTCCTCTGTATTCCTGGGATTCCACACAGGAAGATCCCACCATCCCTCACCATCATCAGGTTGATGGATTCAGTAATGGGAACCCACCAGAGAGATGTCCCCCTCCTCTGTATTCCCGGGATTCCACACAGGAAGGTCACACCATCCCTCACCATCATCAGGTAGGTGAGGAACAATCACTGATAGTATCATTAGGATCTGTACATTATCTGCTTTGTTACCATCGATGTAATTTGTATTCTATATTCAGAATGGAAACCTGAGACATTGTAAAGTTGAGGGTAAAGCTGAAGAAGAAGAGGCGTATGTGAGGGATGATCAGCAGTCTATGGAGGAGGATGGAATAACGGGGACATTTATAGAGGAGGACACTCCTACAGAGATCAGCACAGGTGGGTCATCAACACTAAATCCATTCCTCCTCCCATACTGCTCACTGATTGGTGCAGAGTGGGGCAGGGTGATAACAGCCTGTAATACCCTGGTCTGTGTTCCCTGTCCTGTATTCCTCTCAGATAATCTTCCTTCTCTGGACTGGATTTATGGAGGTTCTGGGAATCAGCTGGTGGTAACATGTTGATTTCACCCTAGGCATTACTCGCCGTGGGCACCTGGGGTATGAGTCTAGGGTCTTCTGCCGCATGCCTGGGTTTAGCAGAATGGGTTTGTGCCTTGAAGATCCCACCAAAATTAGAAGGTTTTATTGTATTTTGGGTTTTAGCAGAATAAGGGGAGGTTTTATTGATAGGGAGGTTCCACCTAGACACGGGGCCAGAACATTGGGTTCATTTTGGGCTTAAATTTTAGTGATATGGTTCTCCAAACAAACGGCACCAACAATAATGTTTTGATCAGAGCACAGACTTTTACATGGTGATAATAATGTGATAACATCCTCCAACGTTGGACCCTTAAACAGAAAGTGATAGTGAGGGAGGAGTCAATAACCCAATGATGGTGGTCTTCAGGATGGGGGAGGAGCCAATAACCCAATGATGGTAGTCTTCAGGATGGGGGGAGGAGTCAATAACCCAATGATGGTGGTCTTCAGGATGGGGGGAGGAGTCAATAACCCAATGATGGTGGTCTTCAGGATGGGGGAGGAGCCAATAACCCAATGATAGTGGTCTTCAGGATGGGGGAGGAGCCAATAAGCCAAAGATGGTGGTCAATAACCCAATGATGATGGTCTTCAGGATCAGGATGGGGGAGGAGCCAATATAACCCAATGATGATGGTCTTCAGGATGGGGGAGGAGCCAATAACCCAATGATAGTGGTCTTCAGGATAAGGGAGGAGCCAATATCCCAAAGATGGTGGTCTTCAGGATCAGGATGGGGGAGGATCCAATAACCCAATGATGTTGGTCTTCAGGATCAGGATGGGGGAGGAGCCAATAACCCAATGATGGTGGTCTTCAGGATGGAGGAGGAGCCAATAACCCAATGATGGTGGTCTTCAGGATCAGGATGGGGGAGGATCCAATAACCCAATGATGGTGGTCTTCATTGTGGGGGAGGAGCCAATGATGGTGGTCTTCAGCATGGGGGAAGAGCCAATAACCCAATGATGGTGGTCATCAGGATGGGGGGAGGAGCCAGTAACCCAATGATGGTGGTCTTCAGGATCAGTCCAGTCTTCCTCTTGGTTGTTCTCCCCCCATCTTCACTCTCTGACCTCTGGTGGGGCTCGTCCCCGCTGTTCTTCATGACTAAATCATAAACTAAATAAGGAAGTGCAGTACTTCTTGTGTTGGGAAGATGGCGATGAGTGATAGAGGGGGTGGGGACCCTCGTCCTATAATCCGCTCATCACTGTCCCTCCTATAAAAGACAGTTCTGGTTGTTCCTCACTCTCTGACTAAGGTCCATGAATAAAGAAATGACCTGGTAGGAGATCAGGGGAGCCATTTCCTAGTTCCCTTGAGGGTGGAATTGGAAGCTCCTCAGAGCCCAAGCTGCCTGTTGTGGGCGGAGTCCTGGTTTGGGGGAACCAATGAGCTCCTGTCTAGTAATCCTCTTTGTCTTTGTATTTTAGTCCATGGCCGGGAGATGAGGAAAACCTCAGAGGATTGTCTCACTTTGTCTCCAGACTGGAAAGTAGAAGATGAGGACATCACACAGTATAGTCCAGGAGGAAACCTGGCTCCCTCCAATGTCCACCCAGCACCACCCAGTGTAGATGGACCATCGGATTCCTCGTATCCTGAGGAACCTCAGACTGTGCGGGACCGGGCCGGCCTTCCATCAGAGAAGAGCTTCTCCTGTATTGAGTGCGGGAAATGTTTCCGATTCAAATGCAGTTTTAATGTACATAAAAGACTTCACACAGGTGAGAAGCCACATAACTGCCCTGAGTGCGGGAAATGTTTTTCAGAGAAGTCCTACCTTACCAAACATCAGAGATTGCACACGGGAGAGAAGCCGTATTCCTGTCCATCGTGTGGGAAATGTTTTGCAAATAGATCAAATTTTGTTAGACATCAGAGGTCTCACACGGGGGAAAAACCATATTTCTGTCTGAGTGCGGGAAATGTTTTTCACAGAAGTCCAATCTTTTCAGTACATCAAAGGTCTCACACGGGTGAGAGGCTTTACTCCTGTTCTGAGTGCGGGAAATGCTTTGTGGAAAAAGCAGATCTTGTCACACATCAGAGGTCTCACACGGGGGAAAAACCGTATTTCTGTTCTGAGTGCGGGAAATGTTTTTCACAGAAGTCCAATCTTATCATACATCAGAGGTCTCACACGGGTGAGAGGCCTTATTCCTGTCCTGAGTGCGGGAAATGTTATGTACAAAAAACAGACCTTGTCACACATCAGAGGTCTCACACGGGGGAAAAGCCGTATTCCTGTCCTGAGTGCGGGAAATGTTTTTCAGATAAGTCACACCTTTACAGGCATCAGAGGTCTCACACGGGGGAGAAGCCGCACTCCTGTCCTGAATGCGGGAAATGTTTTTCACAGAAGTACCATCTTTACACACATCAGAGATGTCACACGGGGGAGAAGCCACTTCCCTGTCCTGAGTGAGGGAAATGTTCCTCACTGAAGTCCTGTCTCCTGTACATCAGGGGTCCCACACAGCCCTGGAGGTGTATGAGTGCCTTGAGTGTGGGAAATGTCTTCTAGATGAATGTTGATGGACATCCCAGCTCTCGTGGGGAAGAAGCACACCCTGATATACACCTCAGATATACTCCATGGCTGATCTTCATCATAAGGAGGTCAGAGGTCACCAAAGACATGGATGAAGTGTGGGACCGGGTTGGCCATTGATAGCAGGAGAAGAATAAAAATGGCATCCTTACCTGAGGACATTTGGTGGTGGGAGATTTCACAAACAGAGCACCGATGTTTGAAAATATTTGAATGAATGTGACCAGCCCTAAGGAATGTCAGCCGTATTTTATTTCATACAATGATTTCCTATGATCATTGGCTCCATCTAGTGGCCACAATGTGGTATTGCAATATTTTCCTGGTTGAGGTATTTCAGGTGCAATGCCTCATGACAGCCCCTAGTTTTGTTGTGTGCAGTCCTGAGCTGCTCTGTGTTAGCACTGAGGAAGGTGGGTGGGCTGCATTTTTACCGCCCCCAGCCTCATGTGTGAGGGAGCCCTAAATGTCGGGACATGTTCATTCCAAGACAGGGAGTCGGTCTCCGCACAATTAATTGTCGTCACCAATTGCATCTCTACATTTCCTATTATATTTATTTTATGTTTTTAATACAATCGTATTGAAGGTAAAATCATAATAAAAGTATCTATGGAACTAAAATATATATTGTGTATACCGGGAGCAATGGTGACAGATCGTCCGTTTATGAGGAGCAATGGTGACAGATCGTCCGTTTATGAGGAGCGATGGTTACAAATCTTTTATGAGGTCAAAGTTTACAGAGTTTACCGTAAATAATGGTCCAGAGTGTAGGGGTCAGAGTATGTTCATATAGAGCAAAGGTACAGAGTGTAGTGGTCAGGAGCGATGTCAAATCTTTACAGATCAGTTTAGGTTTACGTAAATAATGGTCCAGAGTGTAGGGGTCAGGAGTATATCATATACAGCCCAGGGTACAGAGTGCAGGGTCAGGAGTATGTCATATACAGCCCAGGGTACAGAGTGCAGGGGTCAGGAGTATGTCATATACAGCCCAGAGTGCAGAGTGTAGTGGTCAGGAGTATGTTATATACAGCCCAGGGTACAGAGTGCAGGGGTCAGGAGTATGTCATATACAGCCCAGGGTACAGAGTGCAGTGGTCAGGAGTATGTCATATACAGACCAGGGTACAGAGTGCAAGGGGTCAGGGGCATATCATATACAGTCCAGGGTACAGAGTGCAGTGGTCAGGAGTATGTCATATACAGACCAGGGTACAGAGTGTAGGGTCAGGAGTATATCATATACAGACTAGGGTACAGAGTGCAGTGGTCAGGAGTATCTTATATACAGCCCAGGGTACAGAGTGTAGTGGTCAGGAGTATATCATATACAGACTAGGGTACAGAGTGCAGGGGTCAGGAGTATATCATATACAGCCCAGGGTACAGAGTGTAGTGGTCAGGAGTATATCATATACAGACCAGGGTACAGAGTGCAGGGGTCAGGAGTATATCATATACAGCCCAGAGTGCAGTGGTCAGGAGTATGTTATATACAGCCCAGGGTACAGAGTGCAGGTGTCAGGAGTATATTATATACAGCCCAGGGTACAGAGTGCAGGGGTCAGGAGTATGTCATATACAGCCCAGGGTACAGAGTGCAGGGGTCAGGAGTATGTCATATACTGCCCAGGGTACAGAGTGCAGGGGTCAGGAGTATGTCATATACAGCCCAGGGTGCAGAGTGCTGTAGTCAGGAGTATATCATATACAGCCCAGGGTACAGAGTGTAGTGGTCAGCATTATGTCATATACAGCCCAGAGTACAAAGCGTGGTGGTCAGGAGTATATCATATACAGTCCACGGTACAGATTGTGTGGGTCTAGAGTATGTTATATACAACCCATTGAACAGAGTGTAGTGATCAGGAGTATGTCATATACAGCCTAAGGTACAGAGTGCGATGGTCAGATGTATGTCATATGTAGCCCAGGATACAGAGTGCAGTAGTCAGGAGTATGTCATATGCAACCCAAGGTACAGAGTGTAGTGGTCAGGAGTATATCATATGTAGCCCAGGGTACAGAGTGCAGTGGTCAGGAGCATATCATATACAACCCAGGGTACAGAGTGTAGTGACCAGGAGTATATCATATGTAACCCAGGGTAGAGAGAGCAGTGGTCAGGAGCATATCATATACAGCCCAGGGTACAGAGTGTAGTGGTCAGGAGTATATCATACAGCCCAGGGTACAGAGTGCTGTGCTCAGGAGTATGTCATATACAACCCAAGGTACAGAGTGCAGTGGTCAGGAGTATATCATATGTAACCCAGGGTAGAGAGAGCAGTGGTCAGGAGCATAACATATACAGTCCAGGCGGCGGGAATAGTAACCACCTCGGCACCAACTACAGCTGTTGCTGCGACAGGAGCTGGTGGGGAGCTAGGAAAAATCGCAAGGATCTACTGTCATGATTGAACCCAGGCGTGATATAGAAGTGGAGAGGAGTGGTTGGCAGCCAGGACCCTGTCCAAGGTGCATCATGGCAAGGTGCTTGTCCGAATGACCAATCTGGGTACAACTCCTTTACATTTACCAACCCAGCTGGTTATTGTCGATGTGAACACCGTTCCATAAAAGTGGAAACGTCTCGCCCCCAGGGGGAGGAACCTTTAACAGCCACCATGACCACTTCAGAGAACTCTCATCATCAGCAGTTGGTAGAACAAATGTCTCTGCCGGGCTGAGTTTTCGATTAGTAACAGCTCCTACATCAGTTTTTGGGAAAACACGTGTTGGTACTTGCTGGGGGCCCAGAGGACTATGGTTGCACCACTGTTCTAGATCATCCTTTACACACTGGAGGAGCTGTCCCAATATGAGGAAGACACCACAATATCCCTCCAGCCCCGTGTCAGGAGGTGAAGGAACTGCTTCATAATATGTTGCAGAGTGGGGTCATCCGAGAAAGCAGGCATCAATGAGCTGCCCCATGGTCATTTTTTGAAGTTGAAGGCATGTACCCATTGGGATGCCTGCTCTTTGCTGTGGGTAGAGGCAGGAGCGGACTGACAACTCATGGGGCCCCCGGGCAATAGGAGATCATGGGGCCCCTGTGTCCTTGCCCAAACAAAAAAGCCTATGAAAAAGGTACCAGGGGCATCTCATGGGGCCCCCTACTGACCCCGGGCCCTCGGGCAGTGCCCGAGTTTCCAAATGGTCAGTCCGCCCCTGGGTAGAGGAGTCTCTGATGGCCTCAGGACAAGTGTGTTACATCTCGACACTGGAATTGGCTAGTAGCTATTGGCAGATGCCTGTACGGGAGGAGAATCAAGAGAAAAGCGCCTTCATCACTCCTTTGGGACCGTATAAGTTCAGTGGCTAACCAATGCTCCTAGCATGTTTCATCAACTTCTGAAATGACGTTTTAACGGACCTTAACCTTGAATGGTTCTCATTTATCTGGATGACATCACCATCTTTTCCAAGACTTTCAAAGACCATATCATAGGTCTTCACCTGACTGACACAATATGGACTTAACGCCCACCAAGGGCCATTGTATGCAGAGTCAGATACAGTACTTGGGCCATGTTGTAGAGCAGGGGTGATCAATGAGAGAGGGACCCCTTTATATCAGTGATTGTTGGGAGAAGGATCCCCTTATATTAGTGATTGGTGGGAGAAGGACCCCCTTATATCGGTGATTAGTGGGAGGACCCCCTTATATCACTGATTGTTGGGAGAAGGATCCCCTTAAATCAGTGATCAGTGGAAGGACCCCCTTATATCAGTGCTCAGTGGGAGAAGGACCCCTTATATCGGTGATCGGTGGGAGAAGGACCCCTTATATCGGTGATCGGTGGGAGAAGGACCCTCTTATATCAGTGATCGGTGGGAGAAGGACCCCCTTATATCAGTGATCGGTGGGAGAAGGACCCCCTATATATCAGTGATCGGTGGGAGAAGGACCCCCTTATATCAGTGATCGGTGGGAGAAGGATCCCCTTAGATCAGTGGGAGAATGGACCCCCTTATATCAGTGATCGGTGGGAGAAGGAGGACCCCCTTATATCAGTGATCGGTGGGAGAAGGATCCCCTTAGATCAGTTGGAGAAGGACCCCCTTATAGTAGTGATCAATGAGAGAGAGACCCCATATATCAGTGATTGGTGGGAGAAGGACCCCCTTATATCAGTGATCAGTGGGAGAAGGATCCCCGGTCATCAGTATGAAGACTGCCCCCCTTACAGATCATTAATGTCAATTGTTACTGCGAGACAGAAATTGTTCATTACTCGACCCTCTAGAACCCTTTGGAGGAGCCCTGGCTGAGAAAGGCTGGACTAGGCAGTCGTTTATTTCTGTCCCCCTTGGTGGGAGTGGAGGTGACCCCTCTATGAGGACATACAGTCCATACACACCCAGCACAAGGCCGGGGTCACACTACCAGAATGTTCTCGGGGCTGCAGTTCCTCTGAGCTCCACAAGATGGTGATCTCACTTCTTCCCAGACAGGAAGTCTCTATGGAAGACAGGAAGTGGTGTCAAGTCCAGACAGAAAGTTCCATGTGGGAGGAAGTAGAGAGGAGACATTGCTGGAAGTGACAGCAGAGGAGGTAATAGGATCTTATTTTATATTTACACCCAGTAGCCCCCCCATCATGTTCGTCCTCTTCCTCGATCGTCACATCCATCCTCTCCCTCCGCTGTCGCGTCCATCCTCTCCCTCCGCAGTCATGTCCATCCTCTTCCTCAACCATCCCGTCTGACCTCTCCCTCCACAGTTATGTCTGTCCTCCACCGTCACACCCACCCTTTCCCTCTACCGTCACATCCGTCCTCTCCCTCCACGGTCCCGTCCGTCCTCTCCCTCCACGGTTCCGTCCGTCCTCTCCCTCCTCCGTCACGTCCGTCCTCTCCCTCCTCCGTCACGTCCGTCCTCTCCCTCCTCCGTCACGTCCGTCCTCTCCCTCCTCCGTCACGTCCGTCCTCTCCCTCCTCCGTCACGTCCGCCCTCTCCTCCTCCACCGTCACGTCCGCCCTCTCCCTCCACCGTCCCTTCCGTCCTCTCCCTCCATGATTACGTCCGTCCTCTCCCTCCTCCGTCACGGCCGTCCTCTCCCTCCATCGTCACATTCCTCACTTATGGGGCCAGAACGTTTTCTTCATTTTGGAGATATGTCACCTTTTCCACCAATTACCTTCTCAGCTCACATTATGTGACTTTTATTAGTGGCGGAGGATTTATTTATTTTTTTGGAAGGTGTATGTCTTTTTTATTTTATAAGATTCAAAAAGGAAGAAAAATGGAAATGTGATTTGTGGGAAATGTTCTGAAAATAATTTTTTCCATAATGATCCCAGTCTCATATCTTTCCTAAAATGGGATCAGTAAAGTCTCTGGATCATACAAATACGATGTGTCTTGGCATCTTTCAGTTTAGGAGAGGTGGGACGCACCCTGGAGAAATATATTTGTGTATAGAAACCTCACAGAGCACTCCTCACAGCTCCTCCCAGTGTCCCTCCAATCAGTCAGAGAATCCTATGACATCACAATGACCTCACAGCTACTCCTAATATCCCTCCAGCTTTTACCCTACAGAGTGCGGGACCCTGTGTGGTAAATGATATCTCAGCATGAAGTGGGGTTTAATACATGGAGACCTGACCGAGAAGGTGAGGGGGATTCTGGGAAAGGCATTTTATTTTACTATTCATGTTCACATATAGAGTCACATATATGAAGTCTGCCGATCATATGACATCACATTGCCTCCACCTCCCTCCTGATAAAAGAGAGAAAGAAGAAGGTTCTAGAAGTCACCCTGAAGATCATTGATCTGCTGACAGGAGAGGTGAGCAGTGCTGGGAATTCTGGGACATTCTCCAGTAACAGACAAGGGATGTGTCTGGATGGTGACTGTATCATTGTGTGTGTCAGGTTCCTATAAGGTGTCAGGGTGTCACTGTCTATTTCTCCATGGAAGAGTGGGAGTATTTAGAAGAACACAAGGATCTCTACAAGGACGTCATGATGGACAATCACCCGCCCCTCATATCACCGGGTAAGAGGAGACTTTATTGGAAAGGAGAGATCAGTACGGAGGGTCCACCTAGATCCCCCATCATCTGATAAACACATAGAAACAATGGATTCAGTCAGTGTGTGTGTTTCCTACAGATGGATCCAGTCATGGGAACCCACCAGAGAGATGTCCCCGTCCTCTGTATTCCCGGGATTCCAAAATGGAAGGTCACGCCATCCCTCACCATCATCAGGTAGATGGATCCAGTCATGGGAACCCACCAGAGAGATGTCCCCGTCTTCTGTATCCCCGGGATTCCACACAGGAAGGTCACACCATCCCTCACCATCATCAGGTAGGTGATTGACAATGTCTGGTAGTTATGATTTATACACAATAATGTTTATTACAATGAATGTATTATTATATCTTTCAGAGTGGAAACCTTGGGAATGATAATATTGTAGTTAAAAGAAGAGTATAAAGAGGATGAGGACTATGGTGTGATGGAGTTTTCAGAAGGACACAAGGATATGATGGAGCCACCTAATACCAGGAACCCACCAGAGAGATGTCCCCGTCCTCTGTATTCCTGGGATTCCACACAGGAAGGTCACATCATCCCTCACCATCATCAGGTAGATGGATCCAGCCGTGGGAACCCACCAGAGAGATGTCCCCATTCTCTGTATTCCTGGGATTCCACTCAGGAATATCACACCATCCCTCAACATCAGGTAGATGGATCCAGTCATGGGAACCCACCAGAGAGATGATGTCCCCGTCCTCTGTATTCCCGGGATTCCACACTGGAATGTCACATCATCCCTCACCATCATCAGGTAGGTGGATCCAGTCATGGGAACCCACCAGAGAGATGTCTCCATCCTCTGTATTCCTGGGATTCCACACAGGAAGGTCACACCATCCCCCACCATCATCAGATAGATGGATCCAGTAATGGGAACCCACCAGAGAGATTTCCCCGTCCTCTGTATTCCCGGGATTCCACACAGGAAGGTTACACCAGCCCTCACCATCATCAGGTAGATGGATCCAGTCATGGGAACCCACCAGAGAGATGTCCCCGTCCTCTGTATTTCCGGGATTCCACACAGGAAGGTCACACCATCCCCCACCATCATCAGGTAGGTGGATCCAGTAATGGGAACCCACCAGAGAGATGTCCCCGTCCTCTGTATTCCTGGGATTCCACACAGGAAGGTCACACCATCCCCCACCATCATCAGGTAGGTGGATCCAGTAATGGGAACCCACCAGAGAGATGTCCCCGTCCACTGTATTCCTGGGATTCCACACAGGAAGGTCACACCATCCCCCACCATCATCAGGTAGGTGGATCCAGTAATGGGAACCCACCAGAGAAATGTCCCCATCCTCTGTATCTAGAACATGGACTCTTGGAGACAATGTGTGGATTTTCTATGTGATGTCACAATATTAAAGCTTATATTTTACAGATGATATTTTCTCTCCTTCTCTTGGTTTAGGGTGAAGATCTGAGAGATATAAAATTTGAGGTGAAATCAGAAGAAGAGGCGTATGTGAGGGATGATCAGCAGTCTATGGAGGAGGATGGAATAACGGGGACATTTATAGAGGAGGACACTCCTACAGAGATCAGCACAGGTGGGTCATCAACACTAAATCCATTCCTCCACCCATACTGCTCACTGATTGGTCCAGAGTATGGTGGGGGGGCGGGGTGATATCAGCCTGTAATACCCTGGTCACTTTCCTGAGCTGTGTTCCCCGTCCTGTATTCCTGGATTTCTCTCGGATAATCTTCCTTCTCTGTGCTGCAGACACAATTTATGTATCTAGACTGGATTTATGGAGGTTCTGGGGATCAGCTGGCAGCAAAGTTTTTCTTTTCACCATACGCATTGCTCAAGCTAGGCACTTCGGGTATGTGTCTTGGGTCTTCTGCCGCATGCCCGGGTATAGCAGAATCTCTGACAGAACAATTCCCCCAGGGCCACTTACTCTGGTTGACTGTGCCGGTTGGAGGGATATGTCTGTATAGTCTCAGACCCAAGTCACTGAGTGCCGTCTCAGGAGATGGGAGGCAGCGGTGTGGGAGCTCTGCAACTTGTCTACAGTAAACATTTAAACTTCCACCGATTACTGAATACCAATATTATGAGTCCGGACCCTTACACTGTCATTTATATTGTAGTCCTGACCCATGCCCTGTTAACTTATGCTGTACATTACATACTCCTGACCCCTGCACTATATACTCTGTTGTACATGAAATACTCCTGACCCCTGTACTATATACTCCATGTTGTACATTACATACTCCTGACCCCTGCACTATATACTCTGTTGTACATGAAATACTCCTGACCCCTGTACTATATACTCCATGTTGTACATTACATACTCCTGACCCCTGTACTATATACTCCATGTTGTACATTACATACTCCTGACCCCTGCACTATATACTCCATGTTGTACATTACATACTCCTGACCCCTGCACTATATACTCCATGTTGTACATTACATACTCCTGACCCCTGCACTATATACTCCATGTTGTACATTACATACTCCTGACCCCTGCACTATATATTCTATGTTGTACATTACATACTCCTGACCCCTGCACTATATATTCTATGTTGTACATTATATACTCCTGACCCCTGCACTATATATTCTGTGTTGTACATTACATACTCCTGACCCCGGCACTATATATTCTATGTTGTACATTACATACATCTGACCCCTGCACTATATACTCTTGTATATTACATAATTCTGATACTATATAGTCCTAACTCCTGTACCCTATACAGTAAGTTTTATGTTACATTTGCCTGACTTCTGCTCTCCACCTACTGCTACATATACACATATGTCTTCTCCTCTGTTCCCCCCATTTCCTACCAGCTGGACATTTTATATCGGATGATGTGATTGGAGCACAGACTTTTACATGTTGATAATAATGTGATCACATCCTCCAACCAGAAAGTGATAATGGGGGAGGAGTCAATAACCCAATGATGGTGGTCTTCAGGATGGGTGAGGAGCCAATAACCTATTGATGGTGGTCATCAGGATGGGGGAGGAGTCAATAACCCAATGATGGTGGTCTTCAGGATGGGGGAGGAGCCAATAACTCAATGATGGTGGTCTTCCGGATCAGTCCAGTCTTCATCTTGGTTGTTCTCCCCCCATCCTCACTCTCTGACCTCTGCTTGGGCTCAGCCCCGCTGTTCTTCATGACTAAATCATGGACGAAATAAGGAAGTGCAGTACTTCCTATATTCCTCGTCCTATAATCCACTCATCACTGTCCCTCCTATAAAAGACAGTTCTCGTTGTTTCCTCACTCTCTGAGGTCCATGAATAAAGAAATGACCTGGTAGGAGATCAGAGGAGCCATTTCCTAGTTCCCTTGAGGGTGGAATTGGAAGCTCCTCAGAGACCAAGCTGCCTGATGTGGGCGGAGTCCTGGTTTGGGGGAACCAATGAGCTCCTGTCTAGTAATCCTCTTTGTCTTTGTATTTTAGTCCATGGCCGGGAGATGAGGAAAACCTCCGAGGATTGTCTCACTTTGTTTCCAGCCTGGAAAGTAGAAGATGAGGACATCACACAGTATAGTCCAGGAGAAAAACCCGGCTCCCTCCAATGTCCATCCGGCACCACCTAGTGTAGATGGACCATCGGATTCCTCGTATCCTGAGGAACCTCAGACTGTGCGGGACCGGGCCGGCCTTCCAACAGGGAAGAGCTTCTCCTGTACTGAGTGCGGAAAGAGGTTTCATTTCAAATGCTATCTTGATCTGCATAAAAGAACGCACACAGGTGAAAAGCCGTATTCCTGTCCTGAGTGCGGGAAATGTTTCCAATCTAAATACAATCTTAATGTGCATAAAAGATCTCACACGGGGGAGAAGCCGTACTCCTGTCTTGAGTGCGGGAAATGTTTTTCACTGAAATCCAGTCTTTACAGACACCAGCGATCTCACACGGGTAAGAAGCCACATTCCTGTCCCGAGTGTGGGAAATTTTTTTCAACCAAGTCCAGTCTTTACAGACATCAGAGATCTCACACGGGGGAAAAGCCATTTTCCTGTCCCGAGTGCGGGAAATGTTTTGTACAGAAATCAAGTCTTGTCAAACATCAAAAGTCTCACACGGGGGAAAAGCCATGTTCCTGCCCTGAGTGCGGGAAAATATTTTCAAAGGAATCCCACCTCTACAGCCATCAGATGTCGCACATGGGCAAGAAGCCGTATTTCTGTTCTGAGTGCGGGAAATTTTTTTCACGAAAGTCCACTCTTCACATACATCAGAGATCACACACGGGGGAGAAGCCGTTTTCTTGTTCTGAGTGTGGGAAATGTTTTGTAAATAAATCACAACTTGTCGTGCATCAGAGGGCTCACACAGGGGATAAACCATATTCCTGTTCTGAGTGCGAGAAATGTTTTTCAACAAAGTCACACCTTTCCATACATCAGAGATTGCACACAGGTGAGAGGCCTTATTCCTGTCCTGAGTGCGGTAAATGCTTTAGACAAAATTCAGAGTTTACCACACATCAGAGGTCTCACACGGGGGAAAAGCCGTATTCCTGTCCTGAGTGCGGGAAATGTTTTTCAGATAAGTCCAATCTTTCCAAGCATCAGAGATCTCACACAGGGGAGAGGCCGTATTCCTGTGCTGCGTGCCAGGACCCGTTTTTTAAGAAAATCAGAACTTGTCACACACCAAAGGTCTCACACGGGGGAGAAGCCGTATGCCTGTTCTGAGTGCGGGAAATGTTTTTCATTCAAGTCCAATCTTTGCAGACATCAGAGATTGCACACGGAGGGGAACTCATATTGTTGTTGTGAGTGCGGGAAATGTTTTGCACAGAAATCAGAACTTGTCACACATCAGAAGTCTCATGCAGAGGAAAAGCCGTTTTCTTGTCTCGAGTGCGGGAAATGTTTTTCAGGGAAGTCCAAACTTTACAGACATCAGAGACTGCACATGGAAGAGAAGCCGTATTCCTGTTGTGAGTGTGGGAAATGTTTTGTACAAAAATCAGATCTTGTCAAACATCAAAGGACTCACACGGGGGAGAAGCCGTATTCCTGTCCTGAGTGCGGGAAATGTTTTTCATGTCAGTCACATCTTTACAGACATCAGAGGTCTCACACGGGAAGAAGCCACTTTCCTGTCCTGAGTGAGGGAAAAATGTTCCTCACTGAAGTCCTGTCTTCCTGTACATCAGGGGTCCCACATAACCCTGGAGGTGTATTAGTGCTGGAGTGAGTGGGGGAAATGTCTTCTAGATGAATGTTGCTGGACATCCCAGCTCTCATGTGGGGAAGAAGCACCCCCTGATATACACCTCAGATATACTCCATGGCTGATCTTCATCATGGAAGAAACAGTTCATAAGGAGGTCAGAGGTCAGGAAAGACGTGGATGAAGTGTGGGACATTGATGGCAGGAGAATAAAAATGGCGTCCTTACCTGTCATTGGCTGAGTACATTTTTGTGGTGGGAGATTTCACAAACACTGTCTGAGGTCTGTATTTAAAAAAATATCAGAGAAATTTATAAAATGTCCAGCCATAAGGAATATTAGACACACTTGATGTATTTCCTTTCATTTTTAGTGCCATCTAGGGGCCATAATGTAATATTTCACTATTTTCCATGAGTACAGGAAAAATACCTCATTGTGGCCAGTAGAGGGAGCTGACCAACATAGGACCATCATAGGACAGAACTTGTCACATTCGTCCTACAGATTGTTATGAATAAAAAACGAGATGGCTTCATACAAACAGACATCAAAGAAAATGATATTAAAATCACATTCTGCCGAAGGATATCAGTGTGGCGGTCCCTTACATTGGTGAACGATGGGAAAAAGGACCCCCTTATATCAGTGTAGTGGTCCCTTACATTGGTGACCAATGGGAGAAGGGCCTCTTATATCTGGTCAGTGTAGTAGTCCCTTACATTGGTGACCAATAGGAGAAGGACCCCCTTATATCAGTGGTCAGTGTAGTGGTCCCTTACATTGGTGACCGATGGAAAAAGGACCCCCTTATATCAGTGGTCAGTGTAGTGCTCTGCTCCCTTACATTGGTGACCAATGGGAGAAGGACCCCCTGATATCAGTGGTCAGTGTAGTGGTCCCTTACATTGGTGACCGGTTGGAGAAGACCCCCTTATATCAATGGTCAGTGTGGTGGTCCCTTACATTGGTGATCAGTTGGAGAAGGACCCCCTTATATCAGTGTAGTGGTCTCTAACATTGGTGATCGATGGAAAAAGGACCCTTATATTAGTGGTCAGTGTAGTGGTCCCTTACATTGGATACCAATGGGAGAAGAACCCCCTTATATCAGTGTAGTGGTCCCTAACATTGGTGATTGATGGAAAAAGGACCCCTTATATCAGTGGTCAGTATAGTGGTCCCTTACATTGGTGATCAGTTGGAGAAGGACCCCCTTATATCAGTGGTCAGTATAGTGGTCCCGACTGCTTCCTTAGGAACCAGCAACAGCCCGAGGCTGCCATGTGTAGATCCAGAAGAAATATTGAATCTAAATATGGTGCTCAGCTGAAGAAGGGGCTGGGAAAGCCAAAGTTTGGTCCCAACCGTAGGCTCATCCCTACTCTCTGGTGACTAGCCTGGGCAGGAAGCCGTCACAATTAGCAGCCAAAGTAATGGGTTCAATGGGCGAAGGACCCCCTTATATCAGTGGTCAGTGTAGTGGTCTCTTACACTGTTGGTCAATGGGCAAAGGACCCCCTTATATCAGTGGTCAGTGTAGTGGTCCTTTACATTGGTGACCAATGGGAGGACCCCCTTCTATCAGGGGTCAGTGCACTGGTCCCTTACATTGGTGATCAATGGCAGAGGGACCCCTTATATCAGAGGTCATTGTGGTGATCCCTTACATTGGTGATCAGTTGGAGAAGGACCCCCTTATATCAGTGGTCAGTGTGGTGGTCCCTTACATTGTTAACCAGTTGGAGAAGGACCCCCTTATATCAGTGGTCAGTGTGGTGGTCCCTTACATTGTTGACCTGTTGGCGAAGGACCCCCTTATATCAAAGTAGTGGTCCCTAACATTGATCGATGGGAAAAGGGCCCCCTTATATCAGTGGTCAGTGTATTGGTCCCTTACATTGGTGACCAATCGGAGAAGGATCCTCTTACATGAATGGTCAGTGGGAGAAGGACCCCCTTGCATTGTCATCATTAGGAAGACTGCTCCCCTTACAAAATATTGATGTCAGTTGTTGCTGAGAGTCAGAAATTCTTCATTGCTGAAGGAACCCCTAGACCCCTCTGGAGGACCCCTACACCCCTTTAGAAGACTCCTAGACCCCCATGGAGGACCCCTAGACCCCTCTGGAGAATGGCTGGACTCAGTGGTCATAGCTCTCCCTGGTGGTGGGAGTGGAGATGTCCAGTAACGTCATCATCAGGGCAGACCAGAAGGTTTTGTTCATTAGTACAACGATCGATGGATTTGATGTTCTAGTTACAACTTTCAGGACTTGCTTACACATTCAGCAGCCCTTGCCACCCCTCTGAGAAGGGAGAAGGGGGGTGAACCGGGTGGCAGGGAGGTAAAGAGGGGGACAGGATGGGGAAGGGGGGGGGGGGTCAGGGGCGGACTGACAACTCATGGGGCCCCTGGGCAATAGGGATCATGGGGCCCCTGTGTCCTTGCCCAAACTCAAAAAAGCCTATGAAAAAGGTACCAGGGGCATCCCATGGGGCCCCCTACTGACCCCGGGCCCTCGGGCAGTGCCCGAGTTTCCAAATGGTCAGTCCGCCCCTGGGGGGGGTGAACTGGGTGGCAGGGAGGTAAAGAGGGGGGGATGAACTGGGTGGCAGGGAGGTAAAGAGGGGGGGATGAACTGGGTGGCAGGGAGGTAAAGAGGGGGACAGGATGGGGAAGGGGGGGTGAACTGGGTGGCAGGGAGGTAAAGAGGGGGACAGGATGGGGAAGTGGGGGTAAAGAGGGGGACAGGATGGGGGGGGGGGGGGTGAACTGGGTGGCAGGGAGGTAAAGAGGGGGACAGGATGGGGAGGGGGTGATGAGGGAGAGGGGAATGGAAAGAGGGGATAGAAGGTAAAGAGGGGGACGGGGGTGGGAGATGAAGAGGGGGGCAGGAGATGAAGAGGGTGAATTGGCAAACATGGAGGCGATGAGGGGGAGGTGAAGAAGGAGGAAGAAAGGGTGAGGAGGGAGAATAGGTGGTGAAGAGGGGAAGGGGAGTGAAGAAGGGGATAGGGGAGGGAAGGGGGTGATGAAGGGGACAGGGGTGAAGAAGGGGTGGAGGACAGGAGGGCAAATAGTACGACAAGCTGAGGGTTGGTTAAAAGGGGGATGGTGAGATGAATAAGGGGGGTGGGTTATTTTTTTGTGCTAAAAAAGAGCAAAAAATTTAAAAAAAAAAGTTTTTCTTTTTTTCTATTATAAAATTTAGCAAACAGGTAATTTTTCTCCTTCACTGATGTGCGATGATGAGGCTGCACTGATAGGCAGCATTGATGTGCGATGATGAGGCTGCACTGATAGGCAGCATTGATGGGCACTGATAGGCGGCATGGATAGGCAGCATTGATGGGCATTGATAGGCAGCATTGATGGGCACTGATAGGCGGCGTGGATAGGCAGCATTGATGGGCAGCATTGATAGGCAGCATTGATGGGCACTGATAGGCGGCGTGGATAGGCAGCATTGATGGGCACTGATAGGCGCATTGATGGGTGGCGTGGATAGGCAGTATTGATGGGCATTGATAGGCGGCGTGGATAGGCAGCATTGATGGGCACTGATAGGCGGCGTGGATAGGCAGCATTGATAGGCGGCATGGATAGGCAGCATTGATGGGCACTGATAGGCGGCGTGGATAGGCAGCATTGATGGGCACTGATAGGCGGCGTGGATAGGCAGCATTGATGGGCACTGATAGGCGGCGTGGATAGGCAGCACTGACGGGGGGAACTTCTAGGCACTGATGGGCACAGGTGGGCAACACTGCTGGGCACTGATGATCAGTGCCGGTCCGTCCTCTGACAATTTCCGGTTACCGGCAGTACTTTACTGTGACAGGGTGAGGAAAGTGCAGCCGATAACCGGCAACTGTATTTACTGGTGATCAGTGTGTCATTGGACACAGCTGATCACATGGTAAAAGGCTGCTGTGATTGGCCTTTTACCACATCATGTGATCAGCTGAGTCCAGGGAGGGTGCGTTCTGGGAGGACGTCATATGATGTCCTCCCAGAACTGGACAACCGCAATGTAGCCATCATTCGGCTATAGCGCAGTTGGCAAGTGGTTAAAGAAGGGTTTTCAGGGATCGTCTAAAGATGGATAGATTAGGAGATTGTCGGACAGATTGGGGTAGGGAGTTCCATAGGATGGGAGAAGTCCTGGAGGCGAGCGTGTGGTGGAGGTGACACAGGAACTAGAGAGTAGAAGGTCTTGTGAGGATCAAAGAGAGCGGTTTGGTTGATATTTTGAGACCAGGCTGGTGATGTAGCTGGGGGGGGATGGGGAGTTATGGATGGCTTTGTAGGTTGTTGTTAGTACCTTCAATTTTATTCATTGGGCGAGTGGAAGCCAGTGGAAGGATTGGCAGAGAGGGGTGGAGGACATTGATTGAAGACCAGTGGAGGGATTGGTAGAGAGGGGTGGAGGACAAAGAATGGAGGCCAGTGGAGGGATTGGCAGAGGGGTGGAGGACACTGAATGGAGGCCAGCGGAGGGATTGGCAGAGAAAGGTGGAGGACACTGAATGGGGGCCAGCGGAGGGATTGGCAGAGAGGGGTGGAGGACACTAAATGGGGGCCAGCGGAGGAATTGGCAGAGAGGGGTGGAGGACACTGAGGAGGCCAGCGGAGGGATTGGCAGAGAGGGGTGGAGGACACTGAGTGGAGGCCAGCGGAGGGATTGGCAGAGAGGGGTGGAGGCCAGCGGAGGGATTGGCAGAGAGGGGTGGAGGACACTGAATGGAGGCCAGCAGAGGGATTGGCAGAGAGGGGTGGAGGACACCGAATGGAGGCCAGTGGAGGGATTGGCAGAGAGGGGTGGAGGACACTTAATGAAGGCCAGTGGAGGGATTGGCAGAGAGAGGTAGTAGACAGTGAATGGAGGGCAGTGGAGGGATTGGTAGAGAGGGGTGGAGGACACTGAATGGAGGCCAGTGGAGGGATTGGCAGAGAGGGGTGGAGGACACTGAATGGAGGCCAGTGGAGGGATTGGCAGAGGGGTGGAGGACACTGAAT